GAGAGGAGCCGAGGAGGGTCGAGTCCTTCTTCTTGTGGGAGTCCGGATGGGAATGATGGAGCGCAGAGACGTGCGTGGTATGCGTGGCATTGCTCGTGGCGTTGGTGTGGTGCACCGTGATGTTGATCCCGGGGGGGACGTACTTGGTCCAATCCACAGGCGCCTGGTCGGCCCCGGTTTGCACCGTGGTGGCCGTGGAGGAGTTGGTGTTGTCGTTGCTCACGTTCACGGTGATGGGCGGGACGTACTTGGTCCAGTCCGAGGGCCCAGAGGAGGAGGGGCCCGCCGTGGCGCCCCCGCCCCCCACGCCTGCCCCGCCTGCACCCACGCCCTTGGGCACGTATTTCTGCCAGTCGAAAGGGGAAGAACTGTTGTCGGGCGCAGCGACCTTGCCTTTCTTCTCAGTCGTGGGCGATTTAGAGGCATCCTCCCCGCTGCCGGGGGTGGTGTCGGTGAGGGGCGGGTGATGCTCACCATGGTGGTGCTTGTGCTTGTGGTGATGCTTCTTCTTGGAGAGTTCGAGCGCCGAGGGAGGCAGAGGCGAGGAGGCCGCTTCGCGGGCTGAGAGTGGCGGTGAAAGGCTCTCATCCTCTTCATCCGCACTGTCCACAAGCGAGAGCGATGTCTCCTCCTTGCCTTCGCCCTTCCCGCAGGCGCACCCGCCATGGCAGCAGCCACAGCCCCCGTGGGCCATGGAGGAGGGAGGGAGCGACAGCTTCTCCGAGGAATGTGTCGACATAGACGTGCACCCTGAGCAGGATGATCCACAGCCGCAGCCTTCGGCAGATTTGCATCCGCACGAGCCACCGCAGGGGGACGTAGCGCTGCATTTTGACGTCAAAGAACCAAGGAAATCGCTCAGGGAGTGAGACGTTTGGGTTAAGGAATGCATCTAAACAACGCGTTAGGCTTAGGGGTAAGGTTAAGCATGCGCCATTTCTAAGGAGAGACTTACCCCTTCAGACCCTCCATGCTGGCTGCTTCCAGCGCGGGACCAGGCCCCCGACGCAATAACCCAGACCCCCCAGGGGAATCGCTCTTGCCCAAGACCACGGCTCCAATCAGCACCAGACATGCCGTCATCATCATGCCCATCGCCATGCGCAGCACCCATCGACGGCGGCGGCTGCTGGCATCTTCATTTGTGTGGATGATTGTGGGTTGATCGTCGTAATCTGTGATGCCACTTCCTGCGCCCACAGAGGAGGAGGAAACCCCGCTACCCGTTGTCGTGTCGTGAGCGGTCTGATACATGGTTGCCTCGTCCACTCTTTAAGGGTCCAGTGCAAAGGTATGAGCGAGAATGTGAGTACATGGATAAGCAGCGTTGAATCACTTTTTTTTGGGCCGCTGAAGTCGTAGGCGGAATAAAAACACCACAACCAGTCTCCAAGTATACCATTCAGTCACAAGCCTGGTCGCGGGTGCACAAGGCATCATTTTATGTCGTGGGGATATGAAAAGAAATGGAGAGAGTCTGGACTTGGAAGGGGTGGGGTCAGAGGAGGAAAAGAAGCACGCGAAGGGCGGAAGATGCGCTTTATTCCACGACTTGCCCCGACTTTCAAGTCCGACACAAACACGTGCTCGAACATCTTCCCCGTCTGCAGGAAGGTGTCAGGCTCCGTGACCTGACTGAGTGGGAGGGCGTGGAGCACGAAGAATTGTGTCTCTCTCATGGTGGCACATCTTTTCCGATTGAAGAGGGGGATACCGTGATACACTGCGCATCGACGGCCTCCACGAATCTTGAGGTGAAGGGCACTAGCAGATCGCGACATCACTAGGGGACAAGCATTGGGGTTTCAAGAAATGCCTGACATTGCACAGAGGAACTTCCGTCTACTTTGTGACTTAACGACGTGCGGTAATTTTATTTTCTTTAAAACAGCAACTTTGGCTTATTCAGTGGTCTTCTTCCTAAGTGACACGTGTCGGTCTTCAATCGTGTAAAAGAGGAAACTAGTTGCATCTGTTCTTTTATGACGAACATAGACTTTGAAATATGCTTTTACCTTAAAGGACTGCTCTTATTGATTTCTCTCCGCTGCCATCTAGATGATTGCGGACGAATGACCAAGATACTGCAAAAGAATCGAATTAATGCCTTAGTTTTTTTAAAAACTGAATTAAGTCCCTACACATTATAAATCTATCACCCAGTGCTTTACTTAAACTTCTTTATCAATTCGTGAGAGCTGAAGAAGTGAACATAAAGTTGTAAGCATTGAAATCTCTTGTGAGATACCTAAACTATTAACGGTGTGTGTACCCCCGGTTTCGTTTCACGTGTATGCCACTTCAGTAGCTCACTCGATCTCTGTATTTATGACAGAGTCTTTTTAGTGGGAAATATCACCAATATTTTCCAAAAAGCAGCTTTTACTCCCCCCCCAAAACCGGATTAATCCCTGGCATTGTGCCCTTCTACCCCCTCTACTTGCAGACCCCAAACCCCCTTTGTGTCGCTTGGCGACCGAAAGGTGCCCAGAAACACCGCTCGTTCCTCCTCCTCCTCTTTTAGCATCGACATTTTCCACTCCCCCGTATCAGGGAGGCCTAAGCTTTGCTGCGCGTCTGCGGGCATGGCACTCGAGCCCGGCGCCGGCACCGGGTGCTCGGGCTTGTAGTCTCCCACAAGCTGCGAGGCAGGCACGCGCTGATCCACGAAGGCCCGCTCGATTAATGCGGAACCTTCCTCCTCCATGACACTCTTCTGGAAGCTGCCAGCTGCTGCTCGTTCCGTCTCTGGGTTGGGGGCAAGGTCGGCGCCTGAAGGATAGGAAAGCGGGGCGTAGCTGACTCTCGCACCTTCGGAAAGCGCTTGGCTCTGTATAGGATTGTGCGGGAATGAATCGGAGACATTAGGGAAACGCGTACGGGAGAGATGAGTGTTGCAAGTTCCGGGTCGTTCTCACCATAGCAAGCGTGCTGTGAGATGCCTCCTCCCTGCTACCGGGTGCCCATTTGTCCAGCTTTCGCCACAAATCTTCGAAACCGCTGTCAAATGCTTCCCTCCCTGCCCAGTCCTTTCCATTCCTCTCCATCGACGTCGAGTCTTCATCGAAATCACCATTCTCCAACTCCAGGTCGTTCACCCCTTCCTCCTCCTGCAGCGCTCTCCCTCCCTGCCTTCCACGTTTCTCGTAAGAAGTATCCTCAGTGGAATCACGATCTTGGAAGGAAGGAGGCCAATTGGATGATCCACTGCCCTGGTATGGCTGGAGAACGGAAGAAAGGTGCATGTATGTGATGATGAGACAGGCGGGTTTCGGAAGCGGTTTCACGGAGGATAACGGTCCAAGGAATTAAAGACCGGGGGAGAGATGGAACGAATAAAAGAGACAATAATTCCTTTACAACCAGGTTCAAATTATTGTTTTGTTTATGCACAAGAAAGGATGTCATAGACAACTGAATCCAGACGACGACAAAGGCAAAAGGGGGCAGAACAGAGAGCTTTGTGTGGCAAGCACACACTGTACAAACAGACGAAGAACTGCGTCGACAAAAGAAAAGACACTCACATCTCCACCGACGACTGCAGGTGGAGTAGCGGGTTTGAATGGCCCTGCTACAGCCGTCGCCGGGATTTTATTTGCCTACTCGACGGACAGAAAGGAGGGAAAGAAAGCGGGCTTGGAAGTAAGGGCCTGCGGCGTCGCAAGAGAGTTGCGAGACACGCTGCTGTCTCCCTACAATCCCTTCAAAGGCCCTCTCCATTTTCGCCATCTGATCATATTTCCTTCCGTTCCCCTCATGTATTACTTACATCGTTCGGCCTGACAATATGCCTCTCCCCGACATTACCGCGATCGGAATTGGTATTAGGCAATTCAGGAGTTGCAAAAGAGTCCATATCGTTTTCTGTATTACTTGCAAGCACAGTGGAAGACTGTTCAGTAATTACGGCAGGTCTGAGGAGTGTGGTGTTGTTGTCAAGGGCATTTGCGCCACTGTGAGGCGAAAGGGCGGGGGGAAAAGGGACTGACACTGAGAATTCAAGGTCAAATATGTGTAGTGATAAACTTTTTCATACATACTTATAGCGCTAGATATAAATATTCATAGTAACTGCATATGATGTGCTGAAACAGTCGATTATTGTCCCCCTAGGGGAAGTTCATTATATCACTTCGCATTCGGCACTTCTGAGGTTGGAGCGGATGTCACATCACAGTGTCAGAATAGTAGCGTCAAACACCTCCTAAAAAGCCATACGGAATAGCACAAAGGTACATTACAGATATATCGAGTGTCTAAGTGCTCTGCACAACGATTTGATCACTTACCGTAGGAACGCATGCACAGGCTGGGACTGCTTGTGTAGCTCTCGTACTCCCGCGGCCTGCGTTACGCAGGTGAAAATTAGGATGGTCGTCGCCACTGGTTTTGATGTTAGGTGCTTCATGATGAGCGCCTGTACAGTTCTTTTTATGACAATTGTTGGGAGTATTGGGAATCATTAGAGAAGCAAAACTTGGAGATACAAAGATTGCACGACCAATCAACTTTGCTGTTATTTGTTAGCTGAATGACTTGGCTACTGCTTTCATATAAAGTTAGCAACTACTCCTTCACTTCCGTATTTGAACTTTCATATCATCCGTAGCCAAAGTTTGACTCTGCTTATTGCCTAGTATGACATTTTGTGTAGCTATAAATTGATCTGTGCCATTGAGATAACTTTTCACATGGGCCAGGAATGTTCACAGGGAATCTTCCTCACTCCATAAATATTAGCCGTTACGTGCCGAGGCACAGCCACCAGGACCTTCAATAAGGCCAAGTTGGAACCAAAGAAAGCCAACATCAAACAAATATGTCCATGCCTTGCGCACGAATTACTATGGTGTGCGACAGTTTTGGTGGCGGCCTAGAAAAAGACCAGCGTGTACAGCGGCAAGGTTCGTGTCTGAAGCACCAGCGCCTTCCTTGGTTGTAGGGATATCGAAAGTATCTTTTTTTCGCACGAAGACAAATATAGCCGTCCGTAGTGTAGGTGGGTCTCCATATTTTCTTCTTCATGCACCGAAGGACTCAATTTACTTTTCAACAATCAAAAATACGGCGGCTACCTCATAGCATTCGGAGGGCTGAAAACATAATTCTGGTTTCCTGAGAAAGACATAATGTTCGTGAGTCCATGAGGCACGAGTCCCTCGATGTTCCCCCAAAATTCTTGTCCGTTGCTGTTTCCACCGATAAATAAACAGCCGTTGCCATTTTACCCGAAGGACGACAATAATGATATTGATTCACGTAAAGAAATTTACAGATAGTGAGCATTTTGTACGCCAAAATGTTTTTTTGGGAAAACTTATCGCTCTCAGACAGAACAAATCGGCATGTTTCCCTTTTATCCTCGTGTCCTCTGACCGCAAGCGGGCCGCACCCCGACCCCTCCAGCCATATCATACACTATTTTTGATGCATCCAAGGCCAATTGTGCAGCTATTTCTGGAGTAGCTGCCTCTATAATGTAATAAAGGGAATATAAAGCTCACAATTCAGTCTGCCGCCTGTCAAGTGCTGAACTTTGCAAACTAATTATTTGTAGCAGTCATCGTTAATCAATACAAAGGTTCATTTCCTCCACATCCCCTTCAAACTTTACCTGCATACACCCTCACGACATCCTCCGTTCCCGAGGGCCGGACAAAAACGCGTCCATGCGGAGCGACCGCGGAGCTTGCCATGAGCACGTCCAGAGCCTCTTGGAGCCCTCCTGGCGTCATTGCACGCGTCTCATCCTTGTTGCAGCTGAGCAAAAGCAGAGAAGCGTGGTGCAAGGAAGAGAGAGAAGGACAATTAGTGTCTACGACGCGTATCGCGACGCCCCAGCTCTTACTCTTTTGCCATGCCACTGCGCTTGCGTATCCCTCCCACCACTGTCGACTTTGTGTGGGCACATTCTCACTTCTTTTGCCAAATGGTATCCATGTCCGCCCTACCTCATGACGGTCCTGTCCTGCACCTGAAGCTTCAGTTGCTTGGAAGGCAAGTCGGTGTAGAGCCGCTTGTGCCAGTCAGCGATGTCCCATCCCTTCAGGCTGTTGAAGAGCGAGAGGAAGCGGAAGTGTGATCATCCATGTGACGTTGACAATCAGAGAGAAAAATGAGAGGTGAGGACATGGACGTCGCATTATGACGAGAAAGTGTGAGCTGAATGTAGGAGACGAGGAGCGAGCGAAAAAACGGCCTCGGCGCGATAAAACGACGGGAATTAAGATGAGAAAGCCACAGATTTCCGCAGTACCAGGCTGGAAAGGGTCAGATTTTAGGTTTAATGTCGGGGCCGCTATCTTCTGTTCCACCCTCGCACACAGACCACGCACCGTAACACCGCTTCCACGAACAGCAAGTCGCTCATGGCGTCACCGACGGCCTGTTTGCGAATGGAGAGCTAACGAGTGAGCGAGAGTAATCTCAGGATAAAATATAAAGAGAAAGAAAAAAAGCTGAGATGACAGGAGATTACAGGACGACAGACCTTTCGCCTCACCTGATTGATCAGTTGCTGGGCGCACACCAGGCGGGTCGTCGCAATTTTCTCCTTTTTGCTTACTTCCGACTCGCTTACCACCCCTTTTTCTAGTTTCTCTTTATGGGACAAGATGGCTTTTGCCATAGTCTCACCGAAAATGACCGTGCCATGTCCATTCGCCTGTGGCAATATCGTATTTAGGAAATTGCAGCCCTCCAAATTGTCCTTCTTTCAATCCCTCCATTCTTTCTCCAAATACCTCGAAATAGATTCCGATATCATATTTCTCCGCCTCGTGATGAACATGCTTTACTCCTGTCTTGGCAAAGACCACAGGAATGCCTTTGTCTCTCAAGTAGCCTGAAAGAGAAGAGAAACAAAACATTGTAAGATGCGTAGGCCGCATCTCGCATTTTCGATGTGATTAATATGAAAGTGTAGTTAAACGCGTCCGCGGGCAAGTACCATTGGCACTATAATCGACACTGTGGCAAAAATAAGAAAGGAGGGGATGGGGATGGAAAAAGAAAACGAGGGCCAATGTGATTCACTCACGAGTCGAGGCCCCGTTTGCATACGCTGTCTGAACCACAGCGACCTTCCAATCGCCCGCTTGACCACCCTCGTCCCCTGTTTTTATGTCGAAAAGCGGGAACTGTGAGAAAGCGCTCGCTTTCATCCTTTCTCCATCACTCCCTCCTTTTCTTCCCTTCGACCCCCACCTGGCGGAGGCAGACCGCTCTCCTTCAGCGCATCCATGAGGAAGTCTGCGGCGAGAACGGCCATCTTATCTCCATCTAGGAGGTGCCACTTGCCTAAAAACGGACGGGAAGAAAGGAAAAGGAAAGGAAGGGGATGTGAGTGGGTGAGTACGTGGGTGGTGACTTGTAAGACACTGGTGCAAGTTTTCCACGGATGGAAGAGGAAAAAAGAGCAATTGGCATGGATAAAAGGTGCTAGGGAGATCAAGCAAGGGATATCAAAAGAACCTGTGGGGGAGGTCCCACCTTCCTGGTCGTAGAAGTGGTAGACAAGACGATCCGCATCGCCGTCGAAACTCGCCCAGCGCCTGCCTTTGTCTGCAGGGGAGAGATTTAGAGGAGGAGAAAGATCCGTGCGGCCGTTTACAACGCACGTCGTCCAAAATTAAGAGCTAGACGCTTCGTCGGGCCAAGTGCTGCCGTGTGCTCATACCGCGAGGGAATACCGTAGGGGTCAGTGTACGACAACATACCGAGAACACAAAGCTTCTTCTCATTTACGGGCAAAAGCATGGGATAGGGATAGTGCAAACAGTCCAAATACGTGAGTACCGTCTACCCCCTGGACCTCTGCCCTCCCCAAGCTCCTCTCCTTTTCCCACCTCGCTCATCTTCCATGCCCTTGGGGGGTTGCTGGCCCTTTTGCACGAACTCAGCTCCGCATTTGTCATTAAGGTAGAGTGTATTCTCTTCCTCCGCGGTGTTGACTAAAGTCACATTCAGCCTGGCGGCTGATGGTGTGGGAGGGAGCAAAGGGTTAAAAGGAAGGGAAGACGGAGGATAAGGGAGTGCCGAGTTCACTGCAAGAGTGCAAACGTTCATTCCCACCGAATTCACGGGATAACAGCCTTGTAAAACCAACATCACATCTCTTGTCCTGCCCCATCCCTCTCGTTCGCTATTCCGGTCTTGCCCCGCGCATCCTTCCACCCCTCCCTTCCCTCTTTCTCCCCCAGTTTTTCTCTCGCTTACCGCTCGCCCCCGCTCCTTTGTTGACGGCGGCCGCCAGGGCCGGGAACTTGAGAGCACCGATGCCATGTGCACAG